CGTACCCTGCCAACCCGGCCGCAGTCTTCCCGCGGCGGGGAAAGCAGCTACCCACTCCGCGGAGCGCAGACTCCTTTTTTTCCTCCTCGGGAGGGTGTCGCCACCTGGATCGCCAAGTGTGAGGGGTCCGGGAGGCGGGGACCGGAGCACGGTGACCGGCCATGGCTCAAGCGGCCAAACAGCTGAAGAAAATCAAAGACATCGAGGCTCAGGCCCTCCAGGAGCAGAAGGAGAAGGAGGAATCCAACAGGAAGCGGAGGAACCGCTCCCGTGACCGAAAGAAGAAGGTAAGGGGGGCGGCGGCAACAGCCCAGCGGCAGAGGCGCCTGGAGGTGGCTGCCGGGGGAAGGGGCTCAGCAGACCCGGGAACGAGGTGGGGTCGCGGGGCCCCGGGCCGCCGAGTTGGTACAGCCGAGTGGAGGGCGCCGGGCAGGAGAGAGGGAAGAGGCTTCCGTGCGGCGGGAGGAGGACAGGGCAGGAGGCTGGAAGGGCAGAGCGGGCGGCCAGGAGGCTGAGAGCGCGCGGAAGCCCGCCCGCGGAGACCTTTCAGCACCTTGGACAGAAGCCGGAGGGCCCGGGCCGCGCCGGGAGGAACTTTTCCGGCCTCCCGGTTGCCGGCAGGATAGTGGGCTGCTCCGCTCCGGGCTTTCCAAGGAAGCCAGTTTGGGTGAACGCCGCTCCGGGCTCCCGAGGTTGCTCTGCCCGGCGCATCCCCGGTGACCCACTCTCGGGGTCGCAGAGAGCCTCGTTCCGGGGTCTCTGAAGGAGTGGGGCTCCTGCCCTTCCCCTACCCTCCTGGAGCCCAGGAAGCCCCTTTCTTAACCCCGGGGGCCCCAGGGGCATTTTGGCAACGTCTTCTGTTGGAGTCACTCAAGATGAGCGGCCGATGGCCAGGAGGGGGAAGTTCCTTTGGAAGCCAGGCACGGGTGCTTTCCAGCCTGGCCCAAGGGCCTGGTCAGAGAACAGGTCTCCTCTTTGCAGAGACTGGGGGTAGGGAGGGACAAGACATCCCCCACAAAGACTTAGACCCCTCAGGGCAACTGCTGCTGTGTTTAGCACTTTCCTTCTGGGTCTGAGGCCTTCCCACCCCTGACTCAAAGCACCTTTAGAAATACCTTTGGTAAGAAACACCTTTGATTGTGAAGGGAGGGGGTCAGTTAACCGGGAGAGGGTTCCAGTGTTTCAGAGCCCCCCCCCCCGGGGGAGCCTGGGAGTCCATGGGTGCAGTTGTTTGATTTGGAGCTAGGGCTCCAGGAGAGCCATTTTTACCCAAAGATGTCAAGGTGGGGCACGGCACCCCCTGCCTGGGAATGAAGCCCTTGGGGTCCTACAACAGAGGCACTGGTCTTGGTTGAGAAGGAAACATTTTTTTCTTTAAATTGTCTCACTCTGAGAAGGAAATTGGAGCCTATGGTGGACAGCAGAGAGGGGACAGGCTGCCTGTGGGTCATGCTCCTTGTGCCAGCTGGTCAGCAGGACCAACATCCAGCCCTTCCCTAGAGATGAGCCCCAGGGGTAGAGATGTTCTCTGATTGTACCCGAAGGAATCAGCGCGCGCTAGGCTTTCCTGTACCCCTTCCAAAGACAGCCCGCTTCCCTCCAGGGATTGCCGGCTCATGTGTAAATAGTAGTTTCGCAAAGGCACCACCCCTTTAGCAGGACCTAAAAAGAAGCTGTCCCCAAACCGATGGGGAATTGGAGTTTGGGTTGGTGCCACTTAGAGGGAGAGTCCCATCAGGTCCTTCTGCTGGGTCTGAAATACCGGAGCCCATCCTGTGAGTCAGGCAGGGGGACGTCTGGTTATATGTGACAGCGCTCACCCACTTTCTTGGCATGAATGTAAACTTCTTCCTAGGAAGGCGCTCTCTCTATTTCCATCCCTGCCTGGTGCTTTAGGAACCAAGCCCATCTTCTCTCAAACTGCTCACTCAGTGTTTTTATCTCACTTCTTGCTCCCCAGCTTCTTCCTTGACTCTCCTGATATGGTAAATAAAAAAATTTTTTTGAGCAATAGTCAAAATAAAACTCTCCCTTTCTTCTCCTCTGTGATTTCTTTCCATTCTCAGTAACTCCCATCAGCGTAACTCCGAATTCTGACTGTACGTAATACACACACCTGAAAGTGGCAAGTTCAATATTCTTTTCGTTCCTTGGTCTTAGACTTTACATTCTTAGTAAACTTGATCTCCATGTCGAGTGACTAGATGATAATATATTCCCCTCCCTGTGACTTGTGTTATTTTGTTTTACTAGCTGGTCACAGCATACTGCGTCAGTAGGCATTTGAAAATCTCCCGTACAGATTTTCATTATTTTATGCGGTACCCTGGGCGCTCTGATTGAGACACTATTAAGGAGATCTTAATTCCAAGTAATAGCGATCATGGAAACTTAAACTGAGTCTTTGGGTGGGAGGGGCGATGTGGTATGGGGTGAGGCGTCGGGGTGCTTCGTTCGTGTTCCATAATGATTTTGAGTTCTTGCCGCCGTTGGCGTGGTCTCGAGAGCCACCTCAGAGAGTAGGGTTAAATTTTAGAGCAAAACATAAAATCACAAGGAGGCAGAAGGCCCTCGAGGGAAAGGTGAGGAAGGCAGAGCAATGCAGAAAGGATCTTTAGAGAAGGCAGAAGATGCTCTTGTAGGAGCCGGTAGAGCAGATGGCCGGGGTGGGGGCGGGGGCCAAACCGAAGGTTCATACAAGGTGAGGTCTAACGGAGACCCGTTTTTCACCAATGAAGTTATTCTTTTGAGGCAAAGTATATTCAGATCCAGCAGCTACAGTCTCTACATCGGTCACCACAGGTTTGGGGATGCTGTGGAACCACCGTGATTTCAGCACGCAGGAAGAACTTCACACATGCAAATAAACATTTTTTTTTTCCTGCCAGCGACTTGGTGATTCGGGTGAATGTGTGGCTGAGCGAGGGCATTCAGAATTTACTAAAAGGAAAGGTGTCTGTCCCCTGGGTAACCTACTTAACGAGGACTGACTGAGCAGAACCGCGTCCCTCCCCGTTTGTAGAAATAATCGCGGTTGTAACTTCAAGGGTGGTTGCAGCTTTTACAGTTGATGATACTGTGTGGGAAGGCGCTTGCTAAGAGGTGCTGTGCAGCGGGGAGGGAGGCTGATGTTGTGACGCACTGACTGACACAGATAGAAACCACCTCGACACAGGGAACTGAGCTCAAACTCGGGAGCTCTAAAAATGCCTGCATTCTGCTGGGGCTTCATTCAGTTTTCTGTTTGTGCAGCCCACATCCTCAGGGGATGCTTGCTGTTGGAGCTGCAGCAGATTTTGAAAAAAATTAAATAAAATAAGAAGATCCAGAGTTTTTGACTTTTACGGATCTGTTCCCTGCTTCTGAAGGTTGGGATGGAGATAAATAAATTACAAAGCATGTCTAGAGCAGGCATTTGCATTAAGAATGGTGGTTTTCCAGGGCTGGGGAAACCTTGGGCATAAGGAGGTGTGTGCTTTTTGTGTTTACTCAGAGCTTGAGGTTGGGAGAAGAGGACGGGGAGGTTGGAGAGAGAGGCCAGTGATTGATGAGGAGGAAAAGGGATGGAATTAAAGAAAAGAGGAGAAGGAGATGGAGGACTGACAGGGGTAAATAAGGAGAGAAGAGGGCTGGCGTCTCAGCTCTACTTTAAGGGGTTCTGTTCAGTTCCTGCAGTACCAGTAGGTACCCCGGGGCAGCGTGTACCGGGCTCTCTCCTGGTCCCTTGTTTGTCCACCTACTCCATCCTCTGACGCTGGTAAAGGGTGGGGGTCAGGCCCTGCTCACAGCTGGCCACCCAGGACCCAGCTCAGTCCCTGACACACAGCAGGCGCGTGATGATTGTCGGGGGATGAGTGCTTGCACGAGCCAGGTCAGCTGTCTGTGTCTGCTCGTCTCCATGTTTCTCGGTCACAGGCTTGTGTTCAGGGGAGTGAAGGCCTCCTTGACTGACTGTCTGGGGTGGGGGGGCATCCGAAGAAAGCCCGACATTTCTTTCTTTTCTAATCATTTGCAAACCAACCCGGAATGGCAGGCAGGCAGCGGAACCACCTAATTTTTTGGTGCAGTGAATTCCACCACTGAGCGTGTAGTTGGTTCCTTGCAGTCCCTGCCGCACTCAACGACGAGTGGTTTTAGCCATTTGGAACAGCAGTGTTTGCACAGGGCCCCGAGGAGCCAAGCAGAGGAGGGTGCAGAAGGGAAGGAAGCAAGCCTGGCAGCGGAAATTGGCCGTCATCGCTTCGCTGGGCAGGTAGCACCGGCCGCCCTGCCGGTCTCTGCAGCATCCCTCGAGAGCCCTCAGCCTTCCCTGAGCAGCTGGACGGGGCCCTGCTCCTGGACTGCAGAGGTGTCTTTGGATGATCCAGTGACTGGAATCACTGGGGAGATGTGGGGGGACCTGCAGGAGACTTCAGTAGCCACGGCTGTGACCAGGGCTTCTCCCCAGGAGGAAAGTGTGATGAAGGACAGGAAGTTAGGCAGGAGGGTCATGTGGGTCCACGTCTCCCATCTGTAAAGGGCCTCAAATGTAAACTTCCACTGTTATTTTCTGACAGAGAACTTACAGGCTCAAAAGACAATGATGTTCATCACCCATCTTTTTTGGATTCTTTTCCATTATAGGGTTCTCACCAGCTATTGAATATAGTTCCCTGTGTTATCCAGTAGGACCTTCTTGTTTCTCTATTTTATATATAGTAGGTTGTACCTGCTCATCCCAAACTCCGAATTTATCCCTCCCTCCTCTCTTTCCCCTTGGGTAATCATAGGTTTATTTTCTGTGTCTGGGAGTCTCCTTCTGTTTTGTAAATAATTTTATCCACATCACACATCTTTAGACCTAGGTCCTGCTGGGAACCGCATCACTAGTGTATGTTGCAGTATGAATTGATATTTGTATATAAAGTCTCTGGCTTTTGAAGAGCATAATGATGTCGCATTGCATGTTAATTATTAAACGTGTTAATTTATGTAGTTTCGAGCCTTTAAAATCTGGCACAACTTGGGTAACCCCCCTTTGGCATCTCTTCTTATTTTAGTACCTGGGGAGCCTCAGGTAATGGAAGTGGCCCCGTTCCTCTCGCGTGCTGGGAGGTGCTGGCAGTGGCTGGAGATGTGGAAACGTTCCCAGCTGCTCTCTGTCCATCTACCCCCAGCGCTTCCCTCTCCGCCGCTGAGACAGTGACGGTGGGGGCTGTTTCCTGGGAGCCACTGTCACCCTCAACCGTCCACCAGACTAGGAGAGTGGGGTCCATGGGCAGAGAAGGTGTTAACCCTCAGGTGTGTC